CTATATAATGTGTAATATATATATTTTAGAAAATTTATGAATTTTTGCCTAGCTAAAACAATTTATGACATTTTGATTCCACTTGTTTTACTTATGAATTGAATGCTAGATTTCTAGTTTATATTCATGTAAAACTTTGATATAGTTCTATGTATTTTGGCATCTAGTATTACTGATAAAAGTAGAGAAAATTTATTATTTTAGTGATTGAAAAAAAATTCAAATGAGGCTTGAAACTTCCAATCCAATTCTGAGAATATAAAGAAATACTATGCTGAAAAAAAAAACCAGGAAATTAAAAAGTGATACAGTATTATTAACTCAAGTACACATTTTATTCAAATTTCACAAAATTTTATGCTAGTGTCCATTATTTGTTTTCATACCCTATTCAAGCCTCCATATTGTATTCAATTGCTTTGAGCAGCTTCAGTTGCATGCAACAAATTCTGATAAATTCTCTTTTCATTTTTATTCTATTACAAATAATTTCTAATTTTCCTTGTTATGGCTTCTTAGATACACCCATCATTTAAAAGTAGACATTTAATTTCCAAATCATGGGATTTTGTTTAAAGTATCTTTAATACTAATTTCTCATTTTGATATTAATTTCTCATTTAACTCCTTTATTCTCTGCAATTACCCTGTTTTTTTTCAGTTTTTTATTGAGACATTTGATGGCTAAGTTGAAGATCTTTCTTGGTAAATGTCACATTTTGCTTGAAAATATGTGGATTATTTTCAAATCTTTTGATATTGATTTCTAACATAATTCCATAGTGATAAGAGAACAGACTCCATATGATTTTAATACATTTAGACCATGAAACTTTTGCACCTTGTTTTATATCCCTGGATATGTTCCAGTGTCTCCCAGTTTACAGTCTATGGGAACTTACATAGAAATTGTAGTTCCTACAAATTCTGTTGTTGTGTAAAAGTTGTACACATCAAATTATGTTGAATTGGTTCCTAGTACTTTTCAGGTCTACTATATCCTTCTATTTATCTATATATTCAGTCTATTAATTTTTGAGTGTTTGATACTGAAACTTCAACTAAAATCTTAATTTATCTACTTAAAAAAATAATTGTAATACATAGTAGAACTATATGTAACCTTCTGTATTTTCCAAGTCTCCTGTAAATGTGTTATCATACTTTCATAGTTAAAAAAATTAAAAACAACAACAAAGACAAAAGTAGAGGTAGTAAAATGATCCCTTAATAAATTAAAAAAAAAAAAAAGAAAAGCTCCTGTTGATGCCAATTCTGTTGATCCAAGGACCATAGTTCTAATAGGAGGGGAAGTTTCTAGAAACTTTTTAAAATGTATTTATCTTGTCTATTCACCCAGACAGAAAGATCTTAGAAGAGAGATACTATGTCTCATTTTTTTTAGCATATATACCCTATACAGAGGTGTTCAATAAACATCTGTGGATTTACCAATCTGCAGTCTCTAGATACTCCCTAGAACATCTATACCATTCTGATTTTCAAACATTAAGACATTTGAAGTCGAAAAAGCACTTGGTCACTGGAATTAGGCTCACAGGAACAGAGGCAGGGAAGAATTTGAGAGAAAACTTACCTCATAACCAGTGAGAATATAAAACACAGAAAAAACAATATATACAAATGGATGCTTGTTCCTTGTTTAAGCACAAAGGTCATTAAAATGCAATCTTAACTGGACTTCAAATTCAGGTACAAACTGTGAAAGAAGACACGCTTTTTCAGGCATATGTGTGTGTGTGTGTGTATACAAACACAATATACATATATATTATTATATATTAATACAGCTATTATTATATAATAGTAGTTTCTTGAAATAAAATTATTATTATATATAATAATTATAGTAATAATTAACTAAAAAGGTATATAATGAGCTTGATATCACTTTTTAGTGGAATAGAAACATTTTTCAATGATTCTTGAATGTGCAATTAATCTCAAGGCCTCAGGCACCCAATGAAAACACATATCAAGCCCCCCTCCAAAAAAGAGAAACACCCTCCAATTTTCCCATCAACCCGGTTAGTGATAAGATCCCCAAATTCCATTGCCCACAATTATGCTACAGAAATTCAAAAGAATCAGCTGTGTATCAGGGCTGCCTATTCTAAGCCCCCCCTTTAGATTTCCAATTATTGAAATACTTGTTAAAACTCCATAATTCAAATAGGACCAAAATTCTTAAATTTTACTGGGAGGCTATACTTTGACTTCCTATTCAAGCACCAAGAAAACAGTATCAGGCATGTATGACACCTGCTCACAGAATACTATGTAGGTAGCTTAAACTGTGAGACAAATTTACTAAAATCAACCTTTAGAACAAAAAACACCTTTTAAAGTTACTGAGCTTGTCATAAACAGACATCTGCTTCTTAACTCATAGAAACCTTTCAATAAAACCACTCAGCAATATTTAACTGAGATGTTTTTAACAAACATAGACACCTTAAAAGAAGACAGACTCTGCAAGTCTGAGAACTACTGTTAAGCACAGAAACACAGAAGCACAGAACTGTTGTCAGGCACTAGACTCACACTGGGTTTATGAGTTTTAATAAATCAACATTATTACTTCAGAGAAAACCTTTGGGAGTCAGTCCATAGGAAAATGGCCTCTATTACTTTCATCAGAAGTCTAGTCTCCAAGGCAAGGTAAATTTTGTGGTTCATGCCAGGCAGGTAGTCTTCCTAGGAGAGTTTCAAATCTCAAGCCACTGAAGCAGTTATAAACACATACCCATACAAATGAGTATCTTCCTACCTGTGGGTACCTAACCGGTAATTAGACCCAAAACAAATGCCTTCAACAGGGTAGGAGAGCAGAAGCATGTACAGGAGGATCAGATTCTTGCATAAAAAATGAAGCAGTGATTTCATTCTCGTTTCTCCCCGCCTTTTCCTGGCCTTTCTTCAAGACTCATCCTTTGTGAAGCTTTCTCCAATAACTTTAACTCTCACTAATCATTACATCTATTGAATGTCTGAAACACTAGTCTCAACTAATTATTCTAGATTCCTTTTTGTTAACTGTTTTGTTTTCGTTTTGTCTCTCAAATTAGAGTCTGAGTTCCCTGTGAGGCAGGTACACTGCCTAGCCCCTAGAGGGAGCTAATAATATTACTAATAATAAAATAATAATAATAGGAGGTAATACAATGGAGTGGCAATAATGGAGTCAAATAGGCCTATAGTCCTACCATTTGAATGTGAACACATTACTTACTTTCTCTAAGCCTCAATTTGGTGGTAAAAATTTGACAAGAGATCTGTTCGAACAACTAGTACAGGGTTTGTCATATAACAATGCTCAAAAAGCTTAGTTACCTTTCCTTCCCACTTATTAAGCACTTGTTGATTTTGAACTGAGTTAGAGTAGTTCTCCTAGGGGACTGCCAATGGCGCCGTCGTACACTCTCTTACCTTCCCTATTACACTCTTCCCCGTGCCTCTGTCATCTCCTTTAGATTTTCTACTCTGCTGTCCTAAGAAAAAGCCAGCTACACGAGCCACCCAAGTGACTATTCAGAAGGTCGTATCTACAGGCCAGCAGGAGGGCATCTCCACATCTACATCTCACTTTCATCACCCCCACGCCAGCAATCTCTCCCTGTAGGTCTCCCAGTAAGAAAATGGTAGAGAAAACCAGAGAAGCAGTCAGAAGAGGAAATGGAGATAAATAGCTCCGTGGTCCCTCTGTGCCTGCCTCTTGGGAGGAAAGACTCAGGTCTAGTCTCCAACCCCAACTCTAGTGAGGAAAGGAAAAAACCACCAACAAACAAGCCAGAAAAACAAACAAACAAACAAAACCCTTTCCATGGTCCAGAAGAAAAAGCAGCCCCTTTCTCTCACCTTTTCATTTCTTCAAGACCCTCACCAGTCAATTTCACTATACCTCCTACCCCAACCATGCGCCCCTGGGTCAATTTCCTCCTCCATAAATTAGAACCTCTTTTAACCAATTTGTCTTAAACAGACCTCATTCATGCTTTTATCAACTAGAGGTCACATATTCCCCCAACCTTCACCATTCCAAGTTGAAATATCCCTTTTTAAATAAAGGAAAGAAAAAAAGAAGACGAAAAAATTTAAGTTCCCCATCTACTGCACTAAGGCAGATCTTTTTTCATTTGTGATCCTTTAATGATCCAGAATATTTTACCTCGGTCATCATCCTTTCGACTGGAAAAAGCCACTATCACTTCCACCCCAAAACACATACCCCCTTCCAAAAGCGATTTTATTAATCCACATATCCCGACCCCCCCCCTCACACATATACACTTGGGGCTGCACAAAATCAAGAATCGTACTATTCTTAAACGACTTCCCCATGCTGTACAGGTCCGTGTACACCTGGGCTCCCACATCTGTGATCTGGTCAACCTTGATGTCAATACTGACATCAGCCTTCAACCGACCAGGTGAAAAAAATACCTTTGCCCTTTCCACCTCACCTCCCCGCCCCTCAAAATACCTATTTTATTTCCTGACTCTCGCCCCTCCCCACCCCCCAGCCTCATAAAGCAGAACCCATTTTATTGGCCTTAAATGTCCCTCCGGGGCTTTGGGGCCCTTTTCACCTCAGCTTTTTATGTATAGAGGCAGAAAAGTCTGTCCCCTCCGCCACCCCTCAGAAAGAGAGAAAAAAAAAAAAAAACAAAAAACTACTTCTTACGACTCTTCTCTACTGGATAAAGTAGCTCCAGCATATTATGAGGGATTTGAGTCAACTGAGGGGCTGTTTTACCTCAGACTTCACCTTTCGAGGCTGATCAGTGCCTCCCCCGCCCCCTACACAAGCGCGCTCGCAGGACCTCTCCTCACCGCGGGACCCCAGACCCTGGTTTTCGTCGCTGTGACACCTCCCTGGGCCCCGGAGCCGCTTCCGCGCGGCCCCCGCGCCCCCAGCCCCCAGCCCCCAGCCCCCAGCCCCGAGCCCCTGGCGGCAGCGGCGGCGGCCGGGCACCTACCAGTCGGTGTGCGGCTCGTCGACGACCAGCAGCACCTTGGCCTTCCTGGCGGCGGCGGGCGCGGGCGCGGGCGCGTCCACCAGGCCGGCCGAGGCTGCGGTCTGCTTCACCGCCTGAGACAGCGAACTGAAGAAGCTGCTGCCCACCGACGGCGCCGGGGCCGGCTGCGGCGCGGGCTGCGGCGCGGGCGCCTGGGCGGGCGGCGGCCTCCGCTCCGGGCCGGGTGAGGCGGCTGGGGGCGCCGACGAGGCCGAGGCCGCGCCCGGGCCGGGGGGCGGCGGCGGTGGCTGTTGGGGCTCCGGCCGCTGCAGGTCGGTCATGTAGCCATTGGGCAGGTTGGCGATGAAGCTGCTGTCCGACAGCCGGCGCCGCAGGAAGTTCATCATCTGGCTGAGAGGCTGGGGGCGCGCGGGGCGGCGGGGCCGGGCGGCGCAGAGGGCGAGACGCAGGCGGCGGCGAGGGGCTGAGGCGGCTGAGGTGGCTGAGGTGGCTGAGCTGGCCCAAGCTCAGTCCGCTGCGCGCGAGCCCAGCTGACAGGCGCGGAGGACTGGGCCAGGCGGGCGGGGCGGCGCGGCGCGAGGCTCAGCGCCAGGAAGCGGGCGGGGCCGGGGGCGGGGCCGTGGATCGCCCCGCCCCTCTCCGCAGAGCCGGCACCGCCCCCGACTCGCCGCCAATGCCGCGGGCTAGGAGCCTCGGGTCTGCGGGGTTTGGGGACAAGGAGTCTGCGGGGTCTGGAGACTCGAGGTCTGCGGAGTGCGAGGGCTCCTGCGACCTGGGCGCGGCTCTGTGGGGAGGGCGTGGAAGCCAGTCCTGCTCCCCAAGAAGTGGGTAAGGGGAGCCGAGAACCCCTACCCCTTTTTTGACTGGGGGAGAAAAGAACCGTGTCCCACCCGAGATGGAGGCCAGGGAAACTGTCCCCATTGGGACCGAAGAGAAATGTCAGCTTTCCCACCCTGAGGTGAGAGAGGAGCCATTCCTCTCTCGCGCGCGGACACGCGCACACACACACACACACACACACACACACAGGCGGGAATGAGAAAGAAAAGAACTACCTCCCTTCCCAAAGCAGGGAGAAAGTGCCATCTCCCCAATCCCCAGGTGAGGGAGAAAGGAATAATCCGCCCCCAGTAACACACACACACCCTATGGTGAGAAGAAAAAGAACTATCCCTTGCTCAGTGCTGGGAGAGAAAGTACCCCCCCCCCCCACACACACACACACCCTAAGGTGACAAGACCTGGTGATGAAGCCAAGGGTCATCTTCTCCACTCTGGGGAGTAAGGGGGTGGGGGATAGGCCCTCTGCACCCGTCTTAGAAGGGTGTGTGAGACGCACTTTCAGCATCTGCACCTTAGAGATGCCTCACCTCAGAGCACCTATCCTCTCCTCCTTCTCTTCCATAAGAGAGAGGAAACTTGAGAGGCTGGAGATCCCCCTCCCCCCGGAGGAGCCCCCCAAAGTGAGACATCTAAGACTCCCCCACCCCTTCTCTATCCTTGCTAACAGATATTCGTACATCCTGTGTTGTACCAAGAAAGTCGCCTGTTTAAGATCAATGTCTTTTTTCCAGTTCATTTATTGGCCAGATCTGCCTTGACCTCCATGAAGTCTTTCTGATTAGTGCCTTCCTGTGGACGCTCCCTGAATCTTGTATGCCCCCCACTCCCAGACCTTTGTTTTCATCTCTCAGGAGGTATACTTAATCCCCACATTGAACTGGAGCAGGGCACGGCAGATGCACGTTACATTCAGACCAGTCTGAGTGATGTGTGACCTTCGGCAAAATCAGACCTCCCAGCCAGTTTTCCTCAGCTAGTAAAAGGAGATCACGCTTTACAAAAGTGTTACACAGAGCCAGTGAGATCATGTATGTAAAGCACCTGGCTCACAGTAAATATTCTAGGAGTGGTGGCCGGATTCTTATTCTTATTGGAACTCAGTGCTCAGTAAGTTAAGTATGTACTGGACTGAATGGAATCACTGAGCAGCTTGGTGCTAATGTTGGCAGGCAGTCCTTGCTTCCTACATCCCAGCTGGCACTCAGCTTGGGAGCTGGAGGTGCACAGTCTAGCCCTGAGCCAGAGACTCGGTGATGCCTGAGAGGTCTTCGGTCAACTGTAGTAATACACCGGTCTTCCCATCTCCTCCCTGGCTCTCCTGAGAGCTCAGTTGCTAAAGAATCCACCTGCAATGTGGAAGACCTGGGTTTGATTCCTGGGTCAGGAAGATCTGCTGGAGAAGGGATAGGCTACCCACCCCAGTATTCTGGCCTGGAGAATTCCATGGACAGTATAGTCCATGGGGTCCCAAAGAGTCAGACAGGACTGAGCGACTTTCACCCATCTCCCTAATGACGTGATTAGGAAGTGGCCCGTTTGTGAGTTCATTGTCCATGTGGGCTAGTGGGGAGAGTAGGGAGGATCAATCACCACAAAAAGATGTGAGAAACGCTGTCATACAACAAGGGACTCATTCTGCCTTCTAGGCTTAGGGATGGCTTCTCAGAAGAGGTGACATTTGTGATGACATCTGTAAGAGTTTACCAGCAGAGAAGTGGGGAAAGCGTGCAGACAGCAAAGTCCTGGAGGAATGCACCTTGATGACTCCTCCAGGAAGCCTTTCCTCAGTCCCCACGTTGGGCTGTGTTTCATTGCCTGTGCTTGGATTCATCAGAGTCCCTGAAGAAATGATAACAAAATATTCTGGTGACTAGAGTATAAGCATCTCAAGGATAGAATTGGGTCGTGGTCATCTTTGGACCCCCAGCATCAAGAACACTGCCTGATACATAGCAAGGACTCTGCTCTTTTACAATCCAACTATACCCAACTTAGTTCTTGAGTCTACTGCAGAATAAAACTAGTAAGTCATTAATATGTTAAGAAAATAAACTTTGATTAGTATATTGTCCTTCCTAGAAGTACTGTTTTAGAAAATTAGGGGAATCTTTTCAAAGGCATGAATCTCTAATCATGGGATTTCAGACACTGCGTCACTTTTTTTTTTTTTTTGGATGAATGGATTATCTTTCTTTTCATATTTCACTAAGTAATTCCCCCTAACCACTAAGCTTGTAGTGCACATATAATATTGAAAAATCAACCAGTTAACAAACATGTTTTGAGAAACTGATACACACAAATCATGATGCTAGGCACTGGAGGGTAGAGGAGATTCAAGGATGAAAAAAATACAAGTTCAGCCCATAAGAAGACAACTTTGAAATAGATGAACACATAACTAACCATAGCAGAGAAGTCTGTGTGTGACCTTTCAATATTCGTTCGAAGGACTGATGCTGAAGCTTCAAAACTGATCACCTGATGTGAAGAGCCAACTCACTGGAAAAGACCCTGATGCTGGGAAAGACTGAGAGCATAAGGAGAAGGGGATAACAGAGGATAAAATGGTTGGATGGCATCACCGCCTCAGTGGACATGTGTTTGAACAAACTCCAGGAGATGGTGAAGTACAGGGAAGCCTGGTATGCTGCAGTCCACGGGGTTGCAAATAGTTGGACATGACCTAGCAACTCAACAACAACAACAACTGTGTGTGACCAGAAAGTGGAGCAGGCAGTGAGTGTCAAAGGAGCCAGAGGAAGAAGACATCTCTGGGGTAGAAAAGATTTCACAGGGGAGGGCTTATAAAATGGGTAGAATTTAGATAACCAGGACAGACTGGAGGAGACAATCAAGACAGAGGCAATGGCAAGAGCAAAGTCAGGGACGATGCACTGGGTAAGTCATAAGAATGTAGAGATCTATTCCTTGGTGGCAAAGACCTTCCCTGTATTAACATTATACTCCTTAAGCCTTAGAATAGCACCTGGCATGTGGAATGCACTCAAATGTCTGTAGAGGTGCTTTGAGGGGCTGTAGTTATGCATATATTTATTTTATTGGTGTCTATCCAGCTATTTAAAAATTTTTAAAATATCTTTATTTATTATTTGGCTGTGCCAGGTCTGTGGCACATGGGATCTTCTGCCTTCTTTGTGGCATGCAGATTCTTTAGCTGTGGCATGTAAACTCATAGGTGAGGCGTGTGGGATCTAGTTCCCTGAGCAGGGATCGAACCCAGGCCCCCTGCATTCAGAGCACAGAGTCTTAGCCACTGGACCACCAGTGAAGTCCCTGTCCAGCTACTTCTTTAGATGGCAATCCCAGTAAGGAATTCTGTCTCTTAGTTCTCTTTGAATGATCTGCAAAGCCTGATATAATATCCAACACGCAGGAAGTCTCCCAGTCTTGGTTGCTAGATCAAAATGTTCCCAGAGAATTGCTTACCTAGAGAGTTCTTCACTGATACAATGGAGGCTCACAAGACCAGTAAAAATATTTATCAAACATTCCACTCATTCACAATTATCTTCTGGTTGGTTTTTATAAGATATTACTCTTGCAGAAGAACAGACTATTTTCTTATGATTGGGCATGGGAGGTTATTAATCAGTTGAATAAGGTCAGAAGATTATCATTTGTTGGCACAACTATAAATCACACTTGCTTAAACCAACATCTTCTGTGTTCCTCTGAGTCCTTGCAGAGAAGTGTCTTTGCAGCGTGCAAAGACGCTGCATTATAAATGAGCTGGGGTTTTTCATGAGCTGTAATTCAGTTTTCCCTTATCCTTACCTGTGGATCTAGGATCCGGATGCAAGGAGAACATAGTGCTCTTCATCCATCTAGTGTGTTAGTCGCTCAGTCGTGTCTTGACTCTTCGCAACCCCATGGATTGGAGCCCACCAGGCTCCTCTGTCCACGGAATTCTCCAGGCAGACATACTGGAGTGGGTTGCCATTTCCTTCTCCAGGGGATCTTCCCAACCCAGGAATTGAACCCAGGTCTCCAGTATTGACAGGCAGACTCTTGACCATCTGAGCCACCAATGCGTTTTGTCTGGAACTGAAGGAGGAGCAGGATTAGGAAATGCTGTAAAATAGAAAATTCTGGTGCACTTAGGCCCTTTTCTACCTATCTTCCTCTGAAACCAACTAGCACCATTCCTCATCTGTGGGGGGAAGACATTTCTCCCAGAGCAATTGGTGAGGAAGGCGAGAGGTGGGGGGTGTCTCCCCCATCTTTCTTAATCATTCAGGAATTGACTAAACCAACTGTCAGAATCTTGGATGTCTCTTCCAAGCCTGGAAGCCTGGGACTCTTTGAGGTCCTTCCCTGTGTAATCTTTACTTCCCACTGAATTGTAAACACAAGCAAACATCTGGCGACGGCAGATGAAAAGAATCCCGCTAACATCAGGAACCAATTTAAATGCTTTACTGCCTCTCGGATTTCTCTCTTCCCCTTGAGCAACAGTGCAGTGGAGAAGGCTCACAGGCAGCCAGGCTGGCTACAGGAGCATTCTGCAGGCAGAGCT